GGAAGGCCCGGGCAGCGCCCCGGAACAGGCAGCACCCCGAAATGGGCAGGAACAGGCAGCGGGCAGGCACGAGCAGTGGGCAGGCATGGGCAGAGCCCCGAAACGGGCAGGAACGGGCAGCACCCCGGAATGGGCAGCTCCGCCACCCCGCTGCGCGCAGAGGCCTCAGCCCCGTCCTTGCTGCCCAGCCCAGGCGGGATTCCCGGTGCAAGGTGTCCGCCGCGCACCACAACCCTCCTCCCGAGCCAGGACAGACCGCCAAGGAAGGGGGTAACAAATATATTTTTAATAGAAAACAATCAGTTTGGCAATAAACATTAAATAGAATTATGTACATGAGCAGAGATAAATTAAAAACTGACTAGACGGGATTCATTTCTTGACTGAAGGGGCCAAGTGCCATTTAGCTCAAGCGCCCTCCTGGTCCTTCCCCCAGCCCACCCCGAAGCCGTTGGGCAAAACCAAGCGATAACGGGCTGAAAAGTTCCAGGTTAGGTCTTGCAGCAAGATTTCTCTCACTACTCGAGAAGAAAACCCGTTTCATCTTCCCTTGCATATAAGGATGGTGCAAGGGGTGAACGTACAGCACGTGGGTCAGCACTTCTAGCATTTAGCCACACAGGATTAAAAGTGTTAAGCTGAGCATGAAAAATCCGTTGCTTTTTGTAGATGTCAGCAGACAGTATTTTTGCAATTTATTGATATTACATTTGGGCATGTAAATAGCGTCAGAACAAGCGTAACTTGAGAAAACTCATTATTTACATCTCTCAACCTGAATTTAAATGACAGCTATTTCGATTTGCTGACATTCCTGTCTAATATAAACAAATTTAAAGCTTCTGAATAAATATTTGTGCTATTAGACCTAAATCAGAATCTTTTGCAGCCCAGCCCTGGACACCTGTAACATGATACTCACAGTAAAATAATCAGTAAAAACACAAAAAATATCAAATCAAAACGTAAGTTCCTTGTTTCCATGCCACAAACAAACCTGTCTCTAACTTAGGGTCATGAATGCAGCGCTAAAATTACAGCAGGACACTTTTAACACAAAAAAGCAGAAAGCAGGGCTACTTAAAGAGGCACAATCAAACACTTCTGCTGCCTAAAAAAATTTCTGCAGACAAACCCCAAGATAAATAGGTGTTTCTCTACACTAAAAAAAGGCATTGACCTAGATTACCTGAAAGGCCAGACTCTAAACAGAAAACTGCAAGTTGAAAATAATACCAAATTTAGCTTCAACAGAAATTTTCACAGATCATCAGCGTTTAAGTTGACTGTTTGGAATGACGCTTCCTTCCTCTCGCTGTGCAAAATCCCTAGGAGACTGGAAACAAGATCATTCGCTAGCTCCCTACTTTATCCAGTGATGGGACTCATCCATATTTGTTTTCTTTTTGCCTTTGTGGCTGGACATCCACGAAAAAAAAAATACAAAATGCTACTCTCCCTTCATACATAGAACTTCATCTGGGAGTCAGCTCAAAGTGCTATTTTTTATTTCACCGCCACCTGCAGCGTACAGGATTTAAACAGGAATGGTTACTGAGATTTCACCAGGCTGATTTCAGAGACATACCAAAAAAGTTCATGTACAGAGCTCTGCTGAATCAAAGATTGTATGCTGCTGGGTGCAGCATGCCACAGCAGGAGCAAAACCCCTCTGCAGTTAAGATCCTGTTTACATGAAAATGTCTGGTAATAAACAGAGACAAACTGCAGAAATTAATGTCATATTGAAGTTGTCTTGAGCAATCCTGCAGAGCTAGAAAAAAACCCAGTGCCCTTGTAAGTTTTACATATACTAGAGCAAACATTTGCTACTGCAGGTTGGTTGCCAGGATATATGACCTTCCCCTCATGAGCTAAACTGTTAAAATAATAATAATTAAAAAAACCCAAACCCAGGTGAATGAGCTACACTAGGATTAGGTTGCTGGAAACTCACTAACAGGTGAGTTTAACAATTTTATTTCTTCCTACTTTTTGACTGATGACATTTGTAAGCAACAGGGCTTTTTTGGTGTTGGCTTTGCTTAATTGTTTTGCACTATAATCATCAAATTAAATTAATCACAATCACAAATAATGTATTTGGCGAGGATTAGGACAACAAAGTGGCATGTTTCACCAACATTCTCCAGAAGCAGCTACGTGGTTCAACATTCTGAACATGAACATGGGGTTGCAGGGATTTCTTTTATTTAGAGCTTTCTTAAAAAAAATGGGAACACCACAAAATGAGCAGTTCTCGTTAGCTATAGCCATACTGGATATGTACACGTCTATGTTTGTGCTGAAAGGAATTCTCTGTTCTCACTGAACACAAAGACAGCTTTGTAAATGTTTTTGAAGGAGGCTGAGAAGGGCATCATCTAACTAAGCCAAATAAATCATCCACTGACACTTGCATCCTATTCTTCACATTTATAATAGGCAGACACAGTATTTAAATAAACCGAACCAATACAACTGGCAGTCTGGGACCCTGCTCTTCCTTTCCCAAAATGACTGGATTTAAGGCTCCTTTCAAGCATTCGAACAGGTAAGAATTTTAATGAAGGTTTAAACCTCTCCGCAGTCAGATGACATCAAAGGAATACAGTCCAGAAAGCTTTAGTGTAACTACAGTGCTGAATTCTGCAGCCATCATGGTACTTCAGAACCAAAAAACAGTGTAAGTTCATGGCAAAAGATAAAAGTAAAGAAATAGACACAAAGGTCTGTGAAAACATCTCCCATTTTGCTGTAGGTGTCCATGGAGCGACTAATCACTTCTGCAGGGATTCCAGACAGTAAAAGAGCAGCAGTTAATACCGTTGTTTTCACCTTCTTCTCACACTAAAAGAAAAAAAACAAACAAACCAATACTATGTTAGTTCTTCTGCTATAATCCAATTCTGCTTTACATGTCATGAACGTTGTGCCAATTTCAGACACAGCCAGGCACATTCCAAGTTCATTGGTAAGAGTAGCAGGTTTGGACTGATTCTCCTCAAACGTGCTCCAGGATTCACAGCACTTATCCTAGCTACAGATTCATGCTGCGATGGATCCACTGGGGCTGAGCGAGAGGCTGGTTAAAATCAGACAAAATTCATCACAGATATTATGCCTACTTCAGGCTGGCACTCTGAGCAGGCTGCAAAGTGGGGCTGTGCAGCAGCTTCTGCACGAGTGGGAAGCATCCCAGACAAGGGCAACCTGGAAGTAAGAAGCCAAGCCAGGCATCTCCACTGGCAGAACAGGATTAATCTCATCATGCTACTCAGCAAAAGAACACTGCTACTTTTCTAACACAGAAAAGTTATTTAGAATTGAAAACCAACTGTTCCTTTCTATTTTAGTATGACTCCATTTGACAGTTTTATCCTCTGAACTCAGAAATGCCTCCAAACCCTTTTGACAGCTGCTCTTCTCTCCTCAAGATGACAAATCCCAATGATGCAAAGTCTGACAGGCAGGAAAAGGTGACAGTGGCTGAAAATTTGATGATACTTGCTGGATTTCTTAATTTAATCCAATCTAAATTAAGCTTTCGAGAATCCTTCTAGGTTTCATGAGAGAAAAATGAAGGATAACAAGCCGACTGAGCTCATCTGGGTATAAGTGCAGTAAAAGCAAGTTGTAGAAATGAACTACCCCTTTAAATTCTGAAACTGGAGAGTTGATTTTAAAAAACAGCAGAAACACGATCAAAAAGATCTAGCAGATGAGCTAGTGCAAGTCTAAGGCTAATTCTATGGTTTTGTGTTTTGACACGTCAGCTTAGAATGACTACTATGAAGTTTAGTTTTCAATGATATACTTAAGTACAAAAGAACCGCTTATTTATTCTGATTTTCTACAGCTAATCTATTATTCCTTTTAAAATGCACGTGTTCCCTTTCAACTATGGATTGAGCATCATTCAACCCCGCTTTGCGCTGTAGACCTGACAAAATCATCAACCAAATACTTCAGCACAGTAACTGGGGTAAATATATAAAGCAAGTGCTCATAGCAAATCTTGCTGATCACCAGCAAGTTGCACACACAAATAAATGTCTCATTTCCAGTTGCCATTCAGACTGATACTAGCAATGGAATGCAGAGCCCTTAAAAACCCAAGGACTGTGTCATTTTGTAGCAAACATCCTCCCAAATTTTCTCCAGGTATCATATGCAAAATGGCTGTTGACAGAGCAAACGGTAACCACAGAAGAGCACCATCTGGGAGAAAAGCAAAAGTTTCGTAAATATGTGAAAGAACTACCTGGCTTTCCTGCTCAGATGCTTTTAATTAGGCTACAGCTAAACAAGTTGCTAGTCCACGTTTTCACAGCAGCTCTAAAAAAGATTTGGACTAAATCTGAGAAGATTAAAAACTAGAATCAACTATCAGCGTTTGGTAACTCTCAATTCCACAGCTTAAAACAAGGGAAGGACACTTCACATGCATTGATCCTAAATCAATACAATCTAAGCACAAGTTTAAATTTAAAACATTTCAAATTAATCTAATTCTGAAAAAATATTTTACCTTTGGAAAGTACTTGGACAGTCCCATGTAAGCAAGTTGTAGAGTAAGAAATGGTGCAAATATTGACTGAAGGAACAGAAAAGAACACACAAAAATTAACTTTGTCAGAAGAAGCTAAGAAAACACAGAAATCTAATGCTTCCCAAGTCATAAAAGAGAATTAGGTAGGTAAAAAAATAATTTGTGCACAATAGCAACAGCAATCTTGAATACTACAAACCTAAGGAGACAAGTTACAGGTAAAATATAAGGTTCTGTCTTATTTTCTTTGAGCCTAAAAACCTGAAATTGCAAAGTATACAGCAGCGGGTAAAAATGAGCCCAGCGATCCAGGAGGTGGCAGGCTGCACTAGCCACACACCTCTACAGTGGACTGGCAGACACCTGGAATACTGAGGAAATACTTTTCTCAGAAGACTGATAAAGGAGTAGGATCTGCTTATCTTGGGACAACTATGGTTGTTCTTACTCTATTATTCTTTTGTAGACTTCAAACTAGAAGAGCAGTTGACTCACGCTCACAAAGACGGGAATAAACTTGCAGGGGACTTAAGCTGCAACAGCTATTCCAGTGCTTCTGCTGCTCAAACAAAACTGTTTTATACAGTTGTTGGAAATGTAAAGAGTGCTTGAAGTTCCCAACTCAGTCACTACTGACAGATTTCAGCCCTAGATAAAGAGTATTTTACAGTGAGAATGCAGTAAACTAGCAAAACAGAATAGGATTGTTTGTTTCCCTGAACTCACCAAGTACTTGCACACAAAAGCCCTGACTGCAATGGCAAGCAGAGCACATCCCACCAATCTAAAAATGCGGAAAGAGTCAAACTCCTCCACTGCATTCCCATTTTCTTGGCTTGGCTTCTCATTCATCAGCTGGTTCCTCAGCTTCAGAGCTTCATCAAATCTGGATAAGTACTGGTCTAATCCATGTCTAGGTGGCCGTGGTGCAGCTTCAGATGGCAGTTCCCCTCTACTACGGTGACGGAGCTCACTTGTACCCTCATTGACAAGCTCTGGAGTTTTACTGAACAAGTCCTTATCCCCTTTGAGGTCTACCATGCTGCCTGCGTGGTCAGCCGTGCCTGCCATGTTACAGACAGAATCACCAAGCACGATTCGCTTGGAAACAGAAGGAATGGGAAGGGAGTTTGATTTATCTTGTTCATGTTGAAGTTTTGATTCTGTGTGACTTTCATCATCTAAAGAAGAGAAACAAAAATACAGAGTTACGCACATCGGGTACGTGGAACAACACTTTAGCCGTACTGGACTGGGGTCCTGGGTTAACGTCACCGCTTCCAAAGTGAAAACACAGATTTATGATTCATAATTGTGCTAATTATTAATCACAAAGCCCTTTGGCATACCTGAATACAAGCAATCCCATTTTAAAAAGAAATGGGCTCAGCTGATACACAACCTGCTTGTGTATCAAAGGAAAGATTTACACTCAGACTTAGGTTACGCCACAGATGATGACAATGAAAAGGGAAGAGCACAGCATGGAACCAGCCTGAAAATGCTCACCAGCTTCAACAGAATTATGTGTTTAAACAGCGGGACTTGGCACACTCCTGTCTCCCCCCACCAGCCTACAAAGAACCCTACCTGCACCGCATGCTTTGCATGGCAGGGCACTTGTCGGAAATGGTGCAGACATGAGACAGAAAGCTGTGCAATGCAGGTTAGAAGTTGAAGCTGTCAGTCAGCAATGGAAAAATGAAAAGACTGGATTTCCTCAAGCAACAACACTGCATGCACAAGAGGAAAGATGTTCCAAATACACGGAGCATCATAAAACAAAAAAAGATGAAGATTTGCAGAAAGTGAATCACACAGAAGCATTAAAGACTGACAAATGAGCAGGCAGTAGAAGTGTACTTTGGCTTGTTCTCCTCTATTGTCAGAGGCAAAGCAGCATTAACCTGCTCTGTATTAAACCTGAAGACCCCATCTTAGAGCGAAAGAGGTGATGCCAGAGAACAAAAACCAAACTGAGAGGCATGCAGAGCGGGTCTGGTCCTACCAGAGAGGAAGAACCAATGCTTGAAGGGTATTTTTCAGTATTAAAGCAGACTGATTCATGGCTTACGGGCATCCTTGTAAACTGAAACCTGAGAACTCTTTCCTGACAAGACAGTCAGCCTCCTCGAAGTATGTACAGAAAGATAAGTGACCTACCTATGATTCTGCAAGAAAATTCTGCATGCCAACCACAACCATCCAATGACTGGTTGTTATCCAAATGCGAGAAAACTTTGATATACAAACCCAGCTGTGAAACCCAGAAGTTACCGAATGAAAACGTGGGGGAAGCTCATGGGTTCTTCAACTAAGAAAAACTACTCGAAGCGAAATGACAGCTTGCCTGCCCGCCAGGTAAGAACAGCGCCAGGCCCGAGACCCGAGCTCGGCAGGGTTCTGCCGACAGACGTATCGTACCCGCGGGTCCCTCGAGGGCCACAGAAGGTCCCGCTGCGATGAAAGCATCACTGAAACGAAAGAT